CACAATCGGTGTATTATCGGGCGACTTATGTCGTATCTAAGAATATGAGACCTTTAAAACATATCTCTTTTGATGAGACACAAACAGGTCATATTGGTCACTCGATTGGTGATATGGCCTGTACACTTGTGTATAACAATTCAAACTCATAAACCTACTAGTATGACGTCCATTATCACTGAACTAGTATACATATTTGAATATGTTTAGGGGCCAGCTGAAGGACGCCTCCGGGTGCGCGAGTTTCTCGCTGCATTGACGACCCATTGGTGGCCTTCGGCTGTTGTCTGCTCTATGGTCGGGTTGTTGTCACTTTGACACATTCCCCATTTCCATTCTCAAATTTATAGATCATTATTTGCAATAATCAAGTCTGTGAAATATCAATTCCAACACGCGTAATGCATCAATTGAGAATAGTTAACAACAAATTGGTGAAAGTAAAGGCAACAGTAGTATACTGCTGTTCGAATTGAAAGAATTGTGTGTCCCAAATTAAGAACAGACATCTATATTGCACTGCAAAAATAGGAAAATAAACGTCAATGATATTTACGTCCTGATTTTTTGTCTGAATTTGTGTTGCTTGTAACATTAATGCTACCAATTGCACAATCAATATTTTGTTCGTGATGCCTGAGGCCAAAATATTTGAAAATCCAAAACTTATTAAAAAAAATAAAGCCAATACCGGGCAAGGAATCTTAGGTAATCCCTGCATAATTTTGTACCGTCCTATTTCTTTATGTCCATTTGCTTAGTGACCCTGTTGTTGTCTGTTTTATTATCCCTTTAATATCCTTTTTTAAAGGCAATAGTAGTTTACCGATTTTCAAAGCCAATTAATGGATACAAAAAATCAAAACAAACTAAAAACAGAGGGAATTCTAAAAAAAAGTATGCTGAAATATTAAGTGCAATGATGATTCACCTACTTAGTATATGGAAACATTTCCATTTCAGAACAAAAGGTCATTCGTTTGAAGAAACAACCTGGACGATACCAAGTTTCAATGAAATGTGCTTCAAGGCATAAAATAATGACCTGCGTCAGGTCATTTTTTAGTATGATTGAAATGCAAACTACAGATAATTGTTGTATGTGTGTGTGTATAGTGTTTGTTTTCATAACTATATGTATGTATATCTCTGTACCGTTGTAGCTTATGGTTTCTGCAAAAAAGATTATTCCTAATACAGAGTACTTAAATATCTAATTCGTGTGTTCATGCAAATTGGGGTTTTACTGTACGATTTTCTATCTTGAACATTATTTTAAAGTTAAGGCCGAAATAATCATCCCCTCCAATGGCAAAATGTTCCTTTTTCAGGGGAACAGCCACGTTCCTTAAAAGAAAGGGGGTGCATAATATTTTCTCAATTTTTGAAGAAAAACATTGTATTGCCCGGCATAAGAGATAAAATAATTATTCTGAAAAGTTTGTTAAAATATGTAGAAAAATAATATGCCTTTCCGTGATAAATATGTCGTGAAACAAGAGAAAAAATATAGCATCCCCTTTATATAGTTTATATGATAAATTACTTACACAGTAACTTGTATTTTCATCATCTTATAATTCGTTTGCTTCTTTCTGCATGCAATTACTGTAACATTTATATTGTAACTGGACAGTTATTCTTAACATTTATATCTAGATTAATTAGTGAGTTTTATTTCACATTAAAAATGAGCCGTAGGGCGTGTTTATACCTAAACACTTAAGAAAAGAATATCCCACTTCAATGATCGGTAAAATAGGATACAATTCCTAAAAATGTTTGCAGAAAATAATATGTTTTGACGGTATACAAGTCAGATAAAAACGTCTATAACGTAATATATGTTAAACTAAGTTTTCTTTTATAATTACGTGTCTTTAATTCATATCAATATCGAAATAGTGGCACCAAGAATGAGTGCTAGCTGGTATTCGATTCAGAATGATTAGTACAGTCAATGGACACGTTCCGTACAAGCACGAGACAAGTATTGACGGTATACACTAAATAAGGAAGTAAGCAAATCAATAAAAACAATAACCTTGGCAGAATGATTATTGAATTATTACTATTTGCTGTCATTATTACATGATTTTCTAAGTAGAATTCGACTTTGGTGATCATGTTCCATAGTAAAAATAACACAAACACATGGTCAATATTCGTTATGGACAACACGTGTTTGTAGTGACTTTTATCGGGTATTCTCGTGATCAAAATTTGGGAAGCCAAAAATGTGTATGTTTAATAAAAGAGAGGCGAAAGATAGCAAAGGGACATTCAACTCATAAGTCGAAAATAAACTGACGACGCCATGGCAAAACACGTAAAAGACCAAAAGACAAACAACAAAGGTCAAAACTCAACACAGAAAACTAAAGACTGAGCAACATGAACCCAACCAAAAACCGGGGATGATCTCATGTTCTCCGGGAGGGTAGGCATATCCTGCTTAACATGATAAAGTGCTAAATAAAACAGTCAAAGCGGTATAAGTATTTGCAATTTTCAATTAAAGATGTAAATAATAACAGGTGAAAGTATGGTATGAAAAAAGAGTATAACATTGTACCGTATAGTAGTCTGTAAATACCCCTGGATGACAATTTGTGCAACTATTCATAAAATAAAACTAAGGGCCTAATGTATGCTAACCAAATACTGCAGACAGCAACTACTGAATTACAGATATCTGACATGCGACAGTCACACCAAGAATTTACTGGGATTAAACATGTAAATGAGCGTTTAAACCTCCTCCTAATCGAGTTCATCAAATTAGTAAGGCATCTAGCTTCGAACTGAATATTAATTGTAATCAATCGGTAATGACAGTATATATTGCAACACTTGATTACAATAGACACACTACATCTCAAACTTATCACCCGCCCAATGGTCGGTATTGGACACCGGCCTGATGTTATTAACAATAAGAAGATGTGGTATGATAGCAAATGAGACAAATATCCACCGCAGACCAAATGACGTAGAAGTTAACAATTGCATGAAATAAAATTCAGAATAATTAGAAGCCTTAAAGACTTTATTGTACAAAATTCTAGGGAGAAGGAAATATCAAACACTTAATACCATTCACACAAACCTATTTTGTCACATAAAACCGCGTTCAAAGAAAAGAAAGATTAGCGGAGATTTTAATGTATGCTTTGTTTAAGACTTCATACATTTTTCAATTGTTGATTTAATTAAAATTCATATACTAGTGTGATTGGAATCACACCGGTGTCCTTAATCAAACAATAGGCGGGAGATAAACCCGTTCTTGTAACATTGCTGCATTAGTACTAGATAAAACTGTCTTGTTTATAAATATATGAACACAAAAGAAGATAAAACATATCGGGAATAGCAATTGAAGTTTGTTGAACGGTTACAACACATTGGCTGGAAGTTAGTAGTAGATGTTACATTGTCCCATATTAGAAAAGAGTTTGGCGCAGGCAAACATTCGTAACCCCGCAAGATTATGTATGTGCCTGTCCCATGTCGGGAACTTGTAATTCAGTAGTTGTCTTTTTTTGCTGTTTTTCATATTTATTTTTCGTTTATTATTTTGTGCACAAATCTGACCGTTAGTGTTCTTGTTTTAATTGTTTTACATTTTATTATGTCAGGGTCTTTTATAGTTAACTAGACGGTATGAGTTTTCCTTATTTTTTAAGGCCGTACGGTGACTCGATATCGCATAATCATCGTACTTTGGTCTCTGGTTGATACTTGTCACATTAGCAATAATACCATATCTTTTGTTATATGTAGGATTTTAGACATGACAATTACAACTACGCTTCTTCTGAATTTTGAGAAAATTACGGCGTTTTCTAAATATATCATTAATAGAAACATTCAAAGAATTAAAATTGGAAAAACAAAGTGGGAGTTATCATATTGGGAGCTATAAACCTTATTGAGACCTAAAACAGTTCTTACATGGTCAACGTTGACAATAAGAGTATAATCCTGTCTTTTTAGAGTTGACTTTTAATACAGAAGGATTTTAAAATTTAAATTTGAAATATAACAAAATATTTTACAATATAAAAGTGCTAAATATATCATTTACAAATTGTTGGTATATACGGCAGATATGTAGAATAATTAATAATCACAGTGGACATTACACATAAGTTGTAAACTGTCACACTTCTTTACAGAAATGATTATATTGGCCGATAAAAACTTCGATATGACGGCTACAAGTAGATATAATTTATTATGATATGATTCTATACTAGAAGACCTTAAACTTCTTTTAGGCCAATAACATTGTCTTGTATAGATGTATCTAGTAATGTTTAATAAAACTTACGTCTTCTTAATTTGATAAATTTAGAACATTTTACACTAGATCAATTATTGATTAAAAGCTTACTAAAAATAAAGTAAATGTAACTCAAATGAAAAACTTAATCGAAAAAAATGGAAATACACATTGCTGACCAACATCGAAAAAAGGCAAAATTATCCGAGCTTAAACGTCTACCATTCTTTAACATCTCGCCAAATTCTCGCTATCAGATTTGCATAAAGCCCTTCTCGCACATTTACACTACGGAAAGAAAAGTTAATAAAAAAAATGATTACAAAGACCATTGCAAATAGAATTAACTGGTCTACCATAACTATTAAATGTTATTAGGTTTCGAAAAATTTTAAATTTAACTAAAGGTGGCAGTATTAGTTTTAAAAAGCAAAATAATTACATAATAATATTCTTAATAAATGTGTCACACATAGAATGAAATGTTCTTTCCTCAAATTTCCCTGATAACCTAATATTATTCTGTAAATACATAAAATATACAAAAGTAGTAAATATCTATGGTCTGGCCTAATTTGTATACCAACACATTATAACACGTTTATGGCCGTTGATAATTTTTCATTGGTTGTCAAGATCAACATCTTGGTCAAAATGTTCTGATCTATAATAAAATATACATAAGTAGTAAAAACACTTATCGTACCAAGATCTCCCTGAAAGTAAGCATTGTAGTATGATGTCTGGTAATAATATGGTTACTATTTCAATTATAATTGCAATTGCGATGCAGGGAGTTGCAAGTCTGCATCTTAGTCAGGTAAGACATCCATAAATATTATTCAGGCTAATATACAAATAAGAAAATGTGGTATAATTGCCAATAAAGCTGTAAAATAATTCAATAGAAATCATATTTGAAATTGTTTTCGTGTATCGACACAATTTGAATTCAAAGCAAACATACTTGTTTTTTCTTGAATAACTATAAATGCATTCATAATGTACTTAATATGTATTGAAAAGACTTAAAATATTGGGAAGGAATAACGTAATATGACTGTAATTATATTTTATGAGATAATTACAGCACACTAAAAAAATATATTCTATCAAATACTTGCTGACTTAAGCTAATTTAGCCTTTTGCAGTGCTATATGTTATTTTTAGGTGCTGGCTCATTGGCGTTTTGATACAACTTATTCAATTAACATTTATTTCAAATAAATGAATACACAAATTATGTTTCTTAAGATTCCCTGATGTGTATCTCCTTAATAGATTTATGAGATGCAAACAAACTATTGTTGTCTCTAATCGAAAAAGCTTTTGAATATATAACTCATTTGACTGCAAAAAGGAAGTCAAAGTAGTATTTTTAAGAAATCAAATTAGTTTTAAAAAAAATGCACGATAGTTTTGCAATGCCAATGAAATGTTTCAAACTGACGAATCATTCATAATTTTGTTTATGGTTTTGTCACTGCTTTGTCAGTTATGTAGTGAAGTTTTATTGACATATCATGCTTCTTGTTGGTTGTGCCTCTAAACTTTTTGTGTGTGGGGCCGTATAGAAAAAAAAAACATAGTTCATATAGTCGAACAATGTATGGCATAAGTGAATTCATTAATACATTTATTGATATATCACCTCTCCAAGTACGAATATTCTACAACTACAACTATATGCGAATATTTTTATACCAATAAATGAATTCAAATTCAACAAGTAAGAATCGTTTGTCCGAGATGTCATTTTACTATATATAGTTACATGTAATTAACCATTAAACCAGTACTTTGAGCAAAAAAAGTATTAGCTAGGGTTGATTGCATGACTTTGTCAAGAATACAAAAAATGACAGCCATTATTATCGAAACGTTATGTACGACATATCATCTAACTATAGGTAAATGAAAAGTGTCTTGAAACCCGTAAAGAAATATGCATTTGGTGTTGACTCTATGTTTTTGGAATTTTATCGACTTATTACGCTTTATGTTGTTGACACTTTTGGTTTAATTTTTGAAGGCAATCCTAAGATATTAGTGTGATTTTAGTGATATAATTGTATTCAAAATGTTCTGCTTGTTATTTACATTATTGCAGTGTAACTTACTGCAAATATCTTAGGTTTTGTTTTATCTCAGTCAGATCTGGCTGTTCTGTTCCATCCCTTTGATGTTGTTAATACAATAATGAAAATAACCTTTATAAAATTTCGGAATCATTTAAATTACGGAATTAGCTCTGATAGTTTGTCCGGGTTTGGCTTTACTTTTGGTCCTTTTTAGTTTTGTCAGCTTCGAAATGTTTGTCTTATTTTTCAAACATTTTGGACTTGAACATTATCATAAAGAAATTAATTGTCGAAATGCGCATCTGGTGCAATAAAATTGATACCGTTAATGTTATCAAGAATTATTTGTGTCCAAATCATTTACCTGGATTCATCTTCATTAGGAACGCTCAAATTCAAACAATGAAAGAAAAGAATGTATAAATGCTTCAAAACTACAGAAGATTATATGAACAACAGAGGACATACAGACAGTAGCCATATCTACCCAAGGTAAACTTTGCTAGAAAAAATATGAACATTACTTTCTTCATAATTTCTTACTTAATCAATGGGGAATTTAAGAAAGGCATGTTATAGTTCATGCCAGTGCCTACGCTATAAAATACAAATGACACTTTATTTCATTCATGTAATGTAAGCTGGAATCTTGATATTGCTTAAAGAACTAACATTCAACCACTGTTGCTAAGTTTGATATTTTTTGGATCAACTAAGATTAACCCCGGTTTTTGTGGTGTTTGTGTTGCTCAGGTTGTAGACTGTCTGTCTTTTTGCCATATTTCATTATGCCATGGCGTTATCAGTCTGTCTTTTTCTAATGATTTATATACTTCTACTTATATCCCTTTTTTATTGAATCTAGCACTGTTTATTTACGGACATCCTCCATACTTTGATGCAAATGAATACACCTTAGACCTTGGTCAAATGGCATCACTCATACTGGACTAGCTACAATGCCAATTCCTAATGTCTGATATGAACCAAAAAAGAAACCTTTTATCAACAGATGGGTTATTATTATTGTAATAAGAATTATAATAGATTATATAATTCCAGTCTGAAGTACTTCGTAATGTTCATAATATCTTTACACTTAAGCACATTCAAGTATGTCTATTCAATTAATGACTGTCTGTGCAGCTCTTTTTCTCTTCAGGAACATAATTCTGCTTAAAATATGTAGGTATTCACCCCTAATTTTGTTACATATTAAATGGGATGTGTATATACCCTTGCGGTATTTCACCATCATACTAGTAATGTGAAACTTTATGATAAATATATTCTGAATTAAGGATATTAAAATACTTTTTTTTCAAAGTAAGAAAATGTTTGGTTTTTCGATTTCTAATGTTTTCATATATTGTGTTCAAAATTTTGGTAAAATGATCTTGGCCGTCCTCTTATGAGAGGGACGAAAGATACCAAACGGACGTTCAAACTTATAAGTCGCAAATAAACTGACCGCACACTTACTCGTTTGCCTTAGTTTTTAAAAAATTATAGGTCCGGAAAAACTGTTATTATTTAATGTTCCCTTCTATATAGTTAAAGGAGAACTTAAAATTGTTTCACATGGAAAAGGTTCATTGATTTGGAAACCATGTTGCATTTCTTCCTTTGCTTGTCTTTTAAACTTTAGATCAATATGTCCGCATTTCGACTTAAAAACTATATGTTCAAGAGTACAGATATATTTATCGTTAAAAAAAGTGTTTCATGGTGAAGAGTTAATAGATATTATGAATTAATAGTTTACAATTTTAAGATGCACATTTTCGAAAAAAAAATCTCCAACATTCAATAAGCATATAACAAAACAGATTTTACAGGTTTATCAAAACGTCTAGTTGATACGTAATTGATTCATTATGTCTGCAATCTTTGTTATGATGACATTATGCATAGCTTTTGTTTACCCTTTATGGCGAATACATTTACATCTTACCCTCCTTTGTATTACTCAAATTGCATATTAACATGATAGTGACACATTTTGGTTCTGATTGGTCAAAGAAGAGAGTTTTAAAATTGGCATATGTAGAATGAAGAAGATTACAGTCAAAAATATTTACAAAAACCTATAACAACAATTGTGACGAATAACGACACACGTGTGATATTAAAATCAAATGATATAATTTCCGTGCACACAACACGTGTTCCCGGTAAAACTCTCATCTGTTACCCTCGTTACCAAAATTTTCAAATTGATAGTCATATAAATATACTTTGCACAGACTACTCGGCAGATAATACCCTTGGGGACTAACAACCCCCAAGCAGCAGTACAGTTCCAATGTTTGAAAGTGATTTTTCTGTGATCAAATTCATCATCTGCATATACAACATCGATTTTTAATGAAGGTGAATCCACCAAAGTGCTTTATTTCATTACGTATTTGACAATCATGTAACATGTTCAATATTTCTTTTAATTATGGTCAATTTTTGAGGGTATTGCTTTTGTTGGCGGGAGAAGTTTTGTTAAAGATGTAAATTCCCTTCAATCAAAAAATAAATCCAATTCACGGATTTCTGTAGTCATAAATCAGTTTTCGTCATAGATACTGGTATAGTCATAACATTGACATGCAGATTTGATCCTATTGGAATTTATATTTATAAGATATATGGCAAAATATTCAACGCTGTCATACTTATGTATGTGCGGTCTTTTTATATCTCAGTCTATTCAGTGCTGTCCGTAATGACAAGGTTATATACATCGTGTCCAGACATACTTTTATACAAAGCCACCGAGTTTAATGTATTCACAGCAGTACAAAATGTATGATTCCATAATATTAGATGTATTGGTAAATATATTTGTTGTAGGCTCTCCACAGAATGTTCATGACATAAATGTACATTTGAAATACCAAAATGAAAGACAAAAATCATTAAGAAATGACACAAGGCATTTATTGACAATTGTAAATAATCCAGTATCAAAGAATCCCCGCAGTTTCAGGAAGCTCGATAAACTTACAAAAAACATATATAAAGGGTAGATGCATCAAAAATCGAAAATGACAGTGTCCCAGTGCTTTAATTTTTTTTTTTTTACTTCCCTTATAGTTTTTTTTAAACTTTCAATATCATGTTTTATAAATATATGTATGTTTTGCAAAATACAACATGCAAAAGATATATACAAATAGAGGTCAATAGTGGTTCACCATTTGAGAATATTATACATAAAACTCATTTTCAATATAATATTTTACTTTACCTAATTCATGCCCAAATTGAATGAATATTTTTTTCATGAAATACAGAAATGTCTGCAGTTTCTTGACATACTTAATAAATGTATTTACGATTTACACTTTTAAGATAATCATTGTTTAAAGATGAATATGAAAACATAAAAATATTTATGAATTTAACAATAGAAATGTCATCAAAATCTGACCTGAAATACTTTCCCTACCCTGTTTTTTGTAAAGCTTTGTTTTTATTTGAAACAAAGGGAAATTTCCGAGTGGTGAACCATTTTTGACCCAAGAGTGTATAACAGTAAGAAATTTTCAAAATATCAAAATATACTTAGCTACTGTGTGTGTATTCCTTAGACGAAAAATTAAAAAAGATAAATATTAAATTAAGAATTGAATGCTTCTTTTTGTAAATTTATTGGGGTGTAACAGTGTTGACCGAAGTACATTTTGTATGAAGCGCGGAAGCGCTTCATTCTAAAAATGTGCGTACGGTCAACGCTTTTACAAC